ATCTTATTTATATCTTATATAATATTATAATCTTAATATTTTATAAAATATATAAATATAAAATTAAATAAATATAATAGATACTCCATATATTATTTAATTCAGTAGTGATGTAAAATATAATGAGAAATTTTATTTGGATATTTGCAGAGATTCAGTGTTTACAATATATTCGGCAGACTTAATTACAGATAAATCAAAACTTTTATTGCTTGAACTATACTTCATTAATTCAATTTCTTTTCGACACTTTCTTTTATATGCCGACAACTCGTATCCCTCTCGTTTCTTTTGTATTTCTCGAAAAACTTCACGAATCGATCGTGAACCAGCAGCTTGCTTTAATTCGTAGAAAAATACTATTGTAGATGCTAAGAAACCTACAATAAGTGCTGTAAAGCCGGCGCCTAAAGGAGTCAATCCTAAGACTCTGGCGCTTTTGTCGAGATTATCATATTCCTTGAGAACTTCGCGGAGATTGAAATTGGCTCTTCGGCGAATAACATCACCGAGATGAAAATAAATAATGCCTGACTCTCTCAACCATGAAATAATCTATAGAATAATAAAGCATTTCAACATTGTTTAACACCAACATTTGGGATATTAGTATATAAAAAAAATATTGTATAAAAACTCTCTCTCTCTCTCTCTTTCTCTTTCTTAATAATTTATATAAATTTTTATATATGTTCAAATGTAATAGACAGGGTGTTCCCGAGTTAAATGGCCAAACTTGAAATGTGAATTTAGAGCTTTAAAACAAGAAAAAATTTTCCTCTGGAAGTATGCTCGCAAACGCTTCGTTCAAGAGATATTGACTTCTAAAGTTATGAACTATAGGAACAAATTAATTTCGAAATGTTTCTTTTTATGTTTCTTTTTTGCAAGCAAAAAGTTTATGAAGTGCCTATTAATGACCTTCAATCACTAAAACGGAGGATAGTGCAAGCGTGCGAAAAAATGATAGATGTACAATGTCAATCAGCCACTAATTCTGTCATCGATAGGTGCGATGCTTGTCTCTGAGCTGGAGGCCATCATTTTGAACAAAACATTTAATTATTAAATTTTGATTATTGTACAGCAATAAATAGAATAAACCTAGATTATTTCGAAATTATTCGTTCCTATAGTTCATAACTTCAGAAGTCAATATCTCTTGAACGAAGCGTTTGCGAGCATACTTCCAGAGGAAAATTTTTTCTTGTTTTAAGGTCCTAAATTCATATTTCAAGTTTGGCCATTTAACCTGGGAACACCCTGTATATTAATTTTTTATAATATTTATATATAGTATAAGCAAAAAAATTCAATTAAATTTTGAATTTAATCATAGAAAAAAAGATGATTTGAAATAACTGTCTCTACTTTTTTTAGTAGCAAATTTTCTTACAAGTTTATTTAACTAAGAATTTATTTAAGCTTGGATCAAATAATTTTCTAAACTTTTTTATTAATTTAATTTAATTTTAGTTTTGTTTTAGATAAAATTACAAATATATTTTTAAGCATTGTATCTTTATGGCATTTTATAATGTAATGATTGAGATAGGTTTATGATCATTATGATACATTATGATAAGTATTAATTATGCGTATATACAAATGCGATTGTCATATTACCGTATCAACAGGTCGTAATAACCACGGTTGGACCGCAAAGGACGAGTAATAATTGCCTATCATTTGCTTCATAATTCTGTAGCCCTTACAGACATAATTTAATTTATTTTAGCTTCTCTTATCTCAATACTCCATACTATTTTAAATAGACGTATTCTTATATCTTACTTTAAGATCCTCGTTGGAGATGTTATCTTCAGGAAAAAAAATCGAACCTACAATTTTGCCGATAATCGCAAAATTACCCTTCTTGATGAATCTGTGCGTCATTTCATCATCCTTTATGGATACGTATCTTGTCGGTAATTGACTCGAATAAGGATCCTGAAGACATTATATGTACATATGTGTATGTGCGTGTGTGCGTGCGTGCGTGCGTGTGTGTGCGCGCGCACGTGTGGGTGTGGGTGTGGGTGTAGGTGTGGGTGTGAGTGTGGGTGTAGGTGTGAGTGTGAGTGTGGGTGTGGGTGTGCGTGCGTGGGTGTGGGTGTGGGTGTGTGTGTGGGTGTGGGTGTGCGTGCGTGTGTGTTTATATATTTATATACATATATGTTTGTCGTGTCAGCAGTAGCAAGTGATGCTTGTTTGCACCAATGTTAATTCTACGTACATCCATATCGAAATAATCGTAGTAATTTGGTTCTGGCCCTTTTCGACCCCACGTTAAATTTGCCTCGAGAAATTGATATACCGTATCGATTCTATAAACAGTACACGATTTCTATATTTTTTTAAATATAAGTTAATGAATAATAAAATTGCAAAATTAGAAATCAAGAAGATACAACAATTAACAATGCGATCTTTTAAATTAAGAAACACAATCAATAAGTAGTTAAAATAATTTTTTATTTAAATTAGGAAGGCATTTCAAATTTTAACCAAGTTTATGTTTAAAGATAATTTACAAAAATTGAATTTATTTATCTATAGCCTGTACACAGAACTGTTTTTTATATATCAATAGCGCTACTTGATCTTACATTCAATTGTAAACACAATTATAAATTATAAGTAAATTTTAATAGTATTAATAATAATCTAATAATAATTCGAACTATCCTTATAATTAAAAGAAAACATAGAAATTGTTGCTACCTGTTTTCGTATTCCGAACTCGCGAGTCTCGCTGCAAGACTGCTACAATAAGCGGTTACCAATACAACCCCTGCAGTTTGCCATAAATGCAGTTCAAATCTAGCATTGGCGGTGTTTCTGGGCACCCACGTGCCTAACAAACGGCCTATTAATTCCGTAATCGTGAAGAAAATGCTCCGAAAACCTAAGAAAATATATATTATAGGATAGATATCCCAATTACTGCCACCTTAAGCTTATAATCTAACTTAATTTAACCATTTTGGATATTGCTGAAGCTAAACAATGCCTCACTTTGTATCATAATGTTACTTAATATCTGTATTATTATAAAAAAAAATATTATGCATTACATATAAATATTCAAATTAATAATAAATAAAAATCTATAGAAATCTGCGATGTCCCTATGACTGTCATTTAAAAAAAATGTTGTCCGTATGTCTGACACCCGATAATAGCCAGTCCCTTTGACTGTGACCAGATCGCTGCCACTCTCGCTGCGCCCGAAAAGAGATTAAAGTAATTTGTTGGTGAGTGTAAATTATGCGTACTTGTGACGTGTTTCTTGCCCCGAATACTGACGGCAGTCCGACGGACAAACCAGAAAATATTGTCCCTATTGCTGTCAGCGTTAATTATAATAATTTAACATAAACTATCACTTATTTCACACATTCAGAATCATTAAAATGATTCTTATATAGCTCATTAATTCCTTTTACATAATCAATGTAGATTATATAATAAAATTATTGCTCTTTCTTTAGTCCGACTTTTGCATCGCCTTTTATTTACGTAGTCGTACTTTTGATACTCAAACTTAATGTTCAGTTTTTAACATTAATTTTTAAATACTAAATAAAAACAAATACGTGTAATTTTTTTGTTTTTATATAAATTAAAGTATTTATTTAATAATAAAATTTTTTTGGACATGTTTGTTTACAAATTTATTTTTTATCAAGTCAAATATATAAAACGGCAGTTATAGGGACACTGGCAGTAATTGGGACATCTACCCTATACGACATTTATATGATATTATAATGATTTTTCGTCTTTTTTATTTTTATTTCATATATTTTACTTCCAATATATCATAATATTATCTAAATAACAATGTGCAATTACGTTTATAAAAACAAGAAAATTTCAAAAAAATAAAATAGAAATTATGTGAATATGCTATACAGTTCACTCTATAAAGATATTAGATATTAAATATTAGGTATTAAATATAATGATAACGCTTGTAGCTATGTTGATTGACTTTCATAAAGTTCATCTATACAAGAAGCATTTAAAAAATAAAACAATAATCTTGATTGTTTGGTAAAATTTATAGAATATTTAAAACATCAAAATCTACACTTACAAAAGATAAAACACGTTAAACTATGTACTATGTTTATTTTTGATCGTCAGGTGCATATGACCCGTGAATATATTTAACTTACGTTTTGGAAATTTTGGATCGATTCTAGCACGTGCACACATATACATGCTCATAACAAGCAACAGCATTATCAAAAGTAGCCAACATTCTATCGGGAAAGGTCTCGTGAGTGCCCAGAAATTGGTGATCGGTTGCGGTCGCGGTACCAAAAAATGCATAAACATCTGATACCACGGTTCCGACATGTTCACAAAATTACTATGGTTCGGCGTTAACCAAATGCTCCCGAACGCTAGATCAATCTTCGTATATGTGACGAAAAATTGCATAAAATTAGCTTTTTATATATTAAGCAAATTCAATATTTAAAAAATAAAACTAGTTTAGAATAAATTGAACAAATTTTAAACAATGTAATATAATTATAAAGTTTTATAAAGTTGTTAATTGGAACTAAAGTTTAAAACAGTTTGACAGCATATTGTTTTTATCTCATTATTAATTATATTCTAAAATTGATACTTATATCATTCTTTGAACTGCTTCAATTAACAAATTTACCTTTTTCTCTCTTAAAAGTTGAATGACACCACCACGCCAATATGTATTATTTATGCGTCGACCATATCTAAAAATTTGTTGATTTTTTTAAGATTAATTATATATTTAGCCATACATTAACATATATTAAACATAAAAAAGCAAATTATATACAGAATTACCTGTAAGTTCCTTGCGGCTTTCTTAATGTCCAAGTAAAATTTAACTTTTCCGCTATAAGCAAAAATATTTTCATTTCTATCCCATCCTTTTCTACATCTGTATAATAGAAACTATGTTATTTGTATTACCGATCGCTTTTTGTATTTTCGCAATAATTCATAATTCTCATTAATTGTTTTATTAATTTCAATTAATTGCATTAATTCCACGTAACTCTCTACATTAATATAGTATTTAGTTGAAATCTAAGATTGTAATAATATTAATCAATCTTACTCTTTTTTTTTAAAAAGATATTACACTTAAAAATTACATTACACAATATAAAAGATATTACAATATAAAAGATATTACAATATAAAAGATATTACACTTAAAAATTACATTTAAAAAAATAGTTTACCATTATCTGCTAGAAAAACTTCTTCTTCGATACCCTTAATTATTTTCTTGGTCGTTTTGTTGAGATAGGATACGGGTGGCTGGAAAAATGTACATACTTGTAGTTCTCTACCTCTTAAATTAATTATGCTGAATTCGGACATCAGATCCTCATAACTGCAATTTGCGCCATTGAAAGTTTATAATTAAACATAATATGTATTTATATAACATTTTATAAATATAAAAAATATGATACACACACATATTTTTAAATGTTTTTGATATGTATGATATATATTGTAAAAAAATTTGTGAGATATATATATATATATAGAAGATGTCCCATTTTAACTTCCACGCCATAATATCTCGAAAACCATGCATTTAAAAAAAAAATGTTTCAGACAAACGTTATTTGACTCGAAGGGAGGTCATAAGAAGGTGCCATTGGTTTGACCTTGAATAGTCATTTGAAGGTCCTCTTTCATTTCTTAAATGGAAACCTCCATTTTCCATTACATATTCTTGTAGCTTAGCTCGAGAGCTTTTCAAAACACTATAATATCGTATTCTTTCATTAAGTATTTTTCCAGTTATTTTATATCTTAATCTGATATATTTTGATATAAAAAATAAAATATCTCGAAGTAAGTTACAAGAATATGCATTGAAAAATGGAGGTTTCCATTTAAGAAATTAAAGGAGACCTTCAAATGACTATCCAAGGTCAAACCAATGACACCTTCTTATGATCCCCTTCGAGTCAAATAACTTTTGTCTGAAACATTTTTTTTGAAAATGCATGGTTTTCGAGATATTATGGTGTGAAAGTTAAAATTGGACACTCTGTATATATATATATATATATATTATATATATAAAACGATCAAAGCGGTGCCAGAAATAATTTTTACACTTCGTATTTTCATGTTTCTTCCATCCAAATAAACTAATTAATTATCCGCCTTTTATTTCCACAACGCTTTACGACGCTTAATATATTTTTTCATCAAATTTATAACTACTTTCTCAATTTATTCCAAGCATTACATTTCCGGCACATAACTCATTTTGTATTTTCGATTTATACACGTTGCAGAACTTTGCGTATATTTAGATTAACGATAAGCAATCACTGTACCGGAAGTCTGTTTAGGACATCGGTCGGATTTA